TGGCTGTGAGAAAAAGGGGACCCTTCTCCACTGTTGTTGGGAATGCAGACTGGTGCATCCACTTTGGCAATCAGTGTGGAGATTCCTCAAAAAATTAAAACTAGAGGTTCCATTTGACCTACCTATTCCCCTACTTGGTATCTTCCCAAAAGAATTAAAAGCACCATTCCACACCAATAGATGTACAACCAAGTTTATAACTGTACGGTTTGTGATAGTAAATCCTGGAAACAGCCTATAGTTTAAAGACTTAAGAAGAATGGTAAGTTATGCATATTGTTGACTTCAGCAGAAACAAGATACTGACTAATATGAAGAGGCACATTCTTTCATTTGTACCTTTTCAAAATGGAAAAGGTTTTCACAATTTTTACCCCAGCTGTGACTACCAAAGTGTTGTCTTCAAAAGGAAATGGTTGATCATTTTTATAATTCTAAATTCAAAGTTCTATTGAATTTACTGGCATATAAATTTCAAAAATAAATATGTGCCTTTAATAAAGTCTCAGCATCAATTCTTTTTCTTTCCTACATGCATATATATTTAGAGCATTTTTATTCATTTCTAAATGTTTATGAACATATTATTTATCTTTAATAATACATACTTATGGAAGTTATAACTTATACAGTACACCTAAGTGGATGTTTTAAAATATATTCATAGAGAAGTGTACTCAGTAATTTTAGTTCTACTTATTACACTAGAGAGCAACTTATAAAACATTTAAATAGTACACAGAACAATAGCGCTAAACATATCCAGCTGGGCACATTTTAGAACACATTTCACGCTGCACTGATGCCAATGTTTTATAAAAGCCCACCAAGCTGTATACAGGAGACATTTATTCATTATATTGCAAAATAAAATTCAGAGCATTGCCAGAAAAGGACTACCTGCTCCACAACCAAAAGGTACATGCGTTAGGTTATTCCATTTTACTCTGCAAATGTTTATCTTTTAGATTAAAATAAATACACACATTTGGTAAGATTCCTCTTTTCCTTCCTTTTCTTCTTCTTCTTCTGCCACACAAATTCATAGTGAATGTTCACATTTCAGAACACAGATATTGGTAAACTTTTATGGTGCTCACAGCATTTAATAGAAATGCATGCTTCCAGCAAGATTACCTTAAGCAATCTAATGGCGGTCACCCAGCAGGTCCTACTCAGCTCTTCTTCTGCACAGAGCATTTTCAGGTCTCGGGGCCCTCCTGCTTTGTTAGGCTAGAAGGCCACAGCACATTGTTTATCGTTAATGCATATCTCGAAGGTAATACCTGTTGAAATAAAAGCCACTAAAATTCTCCTATATATGAGAAAGCTGTCTCTTTTAAAAAGAAATTAAAAGAAACTCAAGCTTACCTAAAAGGCTGAGGCTTGTTTTATTCATCTATCAAAATATTAAGCCTGTACCTTAAAGCAGAATCCATAGCTAGTTGGTGCTCCATGGTTTTTTTTGCCTGCCACTGACACATAAACATCACTATTGCCAAATTCACTGAAAAACTGCAAATGCCGTGGTTCCTTAAAAAAAGACAAAGAGTGAGATCAGACCACCATATGTGTGTATATATGTTGAAATGGATACACATTTTGTAATATCTCTTTTTGCAAATCCATTATATTACATAATTTATACCTTGGGCAAAAATTATTACAAACAAAATCTCAGTGTAAGAGCACAAAAAAGAAGACCAAAAACAATTGAAAAAACAAAACAAAGTTACTTTGATTGTAAATAAGTAGCAATTGCACACAATTTTATTTAAATTGACAAATGGTGCTCTCTACATGATTTAATTTCCAATGATATATATTTATAAATATAGAAATACAGGGGCTGGGGATTTAG